GGCGACTAGCATGGCCGTCCCCGCAGCGCTATCGACGCGGCACGCCCACCGACTGGCTAACCACTCGCCGCAGGTCTCTAGCCGTTTAGCAGAGAGAGCGTTAGCGTTGAAGAGGGCAGCACCGATGAGAGTCGCATCAATGCGGAAATCAACGGGCAAGGAAGGGGTCATTTCTCGGGTTCTGGGCCGTTTCTCATGGTTTTTTCTTCATCCCTGCACCACTGACCACCTCTACTTTGATTTTGGTGAGCTGCCTTGTAGTAAACTAAACTCTGCCTTCAAAAGAGATCAACCTACATCGTAACCACATTCACTTTCAAATTGTCTCTCTAGTTCACCCTCGAGTCGTCCTTTGATTTTCCTTTCCAAGAAAACTGTGAATCCTTCATTCAACCTGGAAAAATAGTGTTATTGATATATTTCCCATTACTTCTGCTCATTTTATTATTTTATTCAGATCTAAGTATTCTAAGGATTCATTTATTAAGGAGTGTTATAGCCAAACCCTTGCAAAGCTCCACTGTCCACCTGAGGCGAATGACGCATGAGCATTATGTGCAGAGTAAGCGGCGCGACTTGCCAATAATCTCCCTGCAGCGTGCAGCTTCGGATGTCGGTAGCACTGGCTCTACGTGGCATCAACCGCTTGTGCAAAGCACAGCAAGGAGATTTTACTTGTGATTCTTCAGAAGAAGGTCGAATTCGGTAAAATGAGTATCGCATTTTTAGAGGATGGCAGGAAATCGTCTTGTGAATTGGATTTTTGCTACCGAAATTTAGAGAAAATTCGAAAATTTCGCATATTTGCTGTTTCATTAGGTTGAATACGCTTCAATGGTCGCTTCTATGCTGCTCAGTGCAGAACGAATAGAGAGAGAAAGTGTAAAGCTCAAGAACCACTGCGTTTTTGATGCAGATATAAAGGACGAAAGAAATTATGAAAATCACACGCGATCCGCGGAAGTCCTTCGATTTTGATGTATTCTTGACGAGCTACAGTATTTACTTTCATTCTGCAGTTTCTAAGACTCGCTCGACAACCACTGTTTGATTGATCCCTGGCTCCGTTGAACAATGTTCGATGTCGTCACTCTTCTCAAATTGCCACGGAATACAAGACAAAATGGTCGTTCGCACGTGACTTTCAGAGGCCGTTTCAACACGTGAGATCAAGACTTCAACTACCGTAATCATTGAGGATTGAAAACCTTACAAGTCGTAAGGACATGGAAATTCTACCTACTGTCCTTGTCGCGGTCATCAAAGGATCTGCGACATATGCGCGTAGCGACGAAAAACTGTCAGTTTGGCCTAGAAGTCTGTTGGGTATTACGCGCAAAGTTGAAACGAAAGCTTCACTTTTTCCAACTTTAGTGCTTCATAGAAGGTGGTGATGTCCGTTCCTCCAAGGGGTGCCACTGGAAACTGCTCACTTTTGTGAGCTGAGCTGAACACGGACATTCGAATGCAGGCGACAGGCCCCCGTGACAGGCCGGCCTACGAACACCCACGTCACATCACAAATGTCATGTCGCTATGTGAATATCGAGATAATGCTACGGCGTCCGCGGGAGCCGACGCGCACTCGCAAAGCCCGGCGAGTGTGAAAAGTATGCGAGGGTCTCCGGTGCAAGGACGGCATCGGGGGGCAACTAGGCTAGTCCAAAAGTCCCGCAACGTATGGAAGGTTCGCGTTGCAACATTGAATGTTGGCACATTGACAGGTCGCTCGTGCGAGTTGGTAGAAGCACTGGAGCGAAGAAGAATTGATTTCTGTGCCGTGCAGGAAACGAGGTGGTCCTGCTGTAAGTCGAGGGACATTGGCCGCGGCTTTAAAGTCGTTCTCTGTGGCAGTCCCAGGACAACCAGCGGCGTCGGTGTGGTTGTCTCTGAACGTTTCCGCGATTCTATTGCGAATGTCGAACGTTACGATGACCGCTTGATGAAGATCGTTGTTGCTATGGAGCAGCGTCAATACCACATCTTTTCTGCTTACGCTCCACAGACTGGCTGCTCCGAACGAGCCAAGGACGAGTTCTGGGCCCTGTTAGATGAGAAAACCGCTGAGGTACCATCGGAGGACGCTATCATTGTCGCAGGTGACCTTAATGGACACGTTGGATCTGCGAAAGATGGTTATAGTTGTCATGGTGGGTTTGGTTATGGGTCACGAAACGCCGATGGTGAGCGAATTCTTGAATATGCAAGCTCGCACAATCTCACCATCGTGAACACAAACTATCGTAAACGTGACTCACACCTCATCACGTTCTACAGCGGTAATACCAGAACTCAGATTGATTTCGTTCTTGTCAGGCAACGTGATCGAGGGCTAGTGACGGACGCGAAGACAGTGCCGTACGAGACAGTCGCTACGCAACATCGACCACTGATTTGCACATTAAAGATTGCCCCTCCAAGGACCAAGAAAGCCGAACGGTGTGGGCCTGCAAGGATCAAGTGGTGGCGATTGAAAGAAAAGGAATCCGCTCTGTTCAGTCGCATTCGGCTACCGCCAGTAACGACTGTCGACGAAACATGGAAATGTGCCACAGAAGCGATAGTCCGTGTTGCTCGCTCCGAGCTTGGCATTACGAAGCCTGGACGGCGGAAAATCGACAAGCAGACATGGCTGTGGACCGACACTGTCAGAGAAAAAGTACGGGAGAAGAAAAGGCTCTACCAAGTGTTTCTCGGTGACAAGTCAAGCGATAACTGGAACAACTATCAGAGCGCGAAGAAGGCAGCAAAGAAAGCTGTGGCTGTTGCTAGAGCAGTTCATCTCGATGGCGTTAGCGAGAAGCTCGAGACGCGCGACGGCGAACGCTATATTTACAAACTAGCCAAGGCTCGCCATCGCCAGACCGAAGATATCGAGAAGTTCTTTGGCATCAATGACGAGAACGGGCGACTCGTAATGGACCGCAAGAGGGCTGTGAAGCGGTGGCACGACTACTTCGAGAAAATCTCGACAGTGGAATTCTCACACCCGCCAATACCTTCTGCTCCTCCGGTCCACGGCCCTGTCTCGAAGATAACTGTGAGCGAAACAGAGGCGGCTTTGAAGAAGATGAAGACAGGTAAAGCAACGGGTCCCGACGACTTGGCGGCCGATCTGTGGAAGTCACAGTGCTGGAATCCAGCAGAGTGGCTGACGAACTTCTTCAACCAAGTCGTCGCAGAAAAGAAAGTGCCGGAGAGTTGGCAACAGAGTACGACGATCCCGATTTGGAAGAAAAAGGGGAGTCCTGCAGATTGCACGAGCTACCGACCAATTCGTCTGCTCTCCCACAGCATGAAGGTATTCGAACGAATTGTAGATCGCCGTATTCGTGACATAGTCCAGCTTACCGTGAACCAATGCGGCTTCGTGACTGGCTGCGGCACCATTGATGCCATACACGCCGCTCGTCTTCTGCTAGAAAAACACCGTGAAAAACAAAAGCCGGTGCATTTTGCCTTTCTAGACTTGGAGAAGGCTTTTGATCGCGTTCCACGTGAAGTAATATGGTACGCCTTACGACAACATGGCGTCCCCGAAGAGCTTATCGAGTGGGTTCGCATGCTTTACTCAAGCCCAAAGAGCCGAGTGCAAACGTCAGCTGGCGTTTCGACAGAATTCCCCATCTCTGTTGGGGTACATCAGGGCTCTGCGCTTCCCCACTTCTTTTCGTTGTCGTCATGGATGCCATCTCACGAGATCTTCAGAAACCGGCTCCATGGACGCTTCTCTATGCTGATGACGTGATGCTCGCCTGCGAAGACAAAAACGTACTCGAACAACAAGCGCAAGCTTGGTGCGATCGCCTAGCGATGTTCGGACTCAGGTTGAACGTTAGGAAGACTGAGTACCTGACAACCGACACGAGCGAGTGCGGTTCTATCAAAATAAATGGAGTAGAGCTGACACGTGCAACGACATTCAAGTACCTTGGATCAGCAATTGCGTCTGATGGCAGTATGAGTACTGAGGTGAACTCGCGTGTGAGTGCGGCTTGGTCCAAGTGGCGTTCTATGACGGGAGTTCTCTGTGACAAGAAAATCCCAGAACGCCTAAAATCGAAGATCTATAGGACAGTCATAAGACCAGTGGCATTGTACGGCGCTGAGTGCTGGCCAGCGACCAGGGACACTGAAACTCGCCTCGGTGTAATGGAGACGAAGATGCTGCGCTGGACGGCTGGTGTCACGCGATTAGATCGCGTCCGGAACGATGTCATACGAGAACGCTTTGGTGTAGCTCCCATTGCTGATAAAATGCGCGAAGCTCGGCTTCGTTGGTTTGGCCACGTTCTTTTGATTCCTTTCGCCGAAATGGGGGGGTTGTGGGGGGGGGGGGGGGGGGGGGGGGGGGTGGAACCTGACAGTGTTCGCAAAAGATCGGCCTCAACATAGACGTGCACGGAAAGCGGCCCAAGGGGCGCCCGAAACAGCGCTGGCTCGATACGTTGCACGCAGACTTGAAGTTGGTTAACATCCACCCCGACCAAGCATTTAATCGGGAAAAGTGGCGACAGCACATCAGAAAAGCGGACCCCGCCAACAAGCGGGACAAACGCTGAAGAATAAGAAGAAGAAGAAGCTTTTCATTCCCAGCCGAGAGACATTCCTACAAGAACGGTTCCATACCCGCAAAGGCCGGGAACGTTCGACAATGAGGTGGGCCCAACTTTATAAACGTCATGGAGTTAAGAGCCTATGCCTCTCTACTCAACGAGAATCTGTAACGCTACTGCGTCACCTGCAAAAGCCGCTCTAAAATTCGGCATCTCTACGAGCGGTTTGGGAAGAGCCCGATGTGAGCTTGATGATATCTACACGATATCTGAAAGTTGGTGGGTAGGCGTGTCACCGGAACTGACGTGCACTTGATAGAGGTTGCGTGGATAAGTTGTCGCCAGCATGTTTTGCCGATATCCAGCGATGTATGTTGGAAGCAGCTTAGCCGCATAGCTTCTATCAAGTGCACGTCATTTCCGGTGACACGCCTACCCCAACTCTCAGATATCGAGTGTACTTCCGTGCCACAGTGGACGCTTCCTCCAAGTGAGTATGTGAGGCTTTGCATCGGCGCTAGTAGAAATATTGGATTAAAGTAACAGCGTGAATTTTTTTTTTCAAAATTGATAAAACGTTGTTGCGTCCATAATTCGACTCTAAGTGATTTTTTTTGTAATTTCCTATACATATGGTGAATTTACTTGGAATGGGTCAAGAAATGAATTTCGGCCTCACCAGAAATGTTCCCAGCTGGCGTTCGTGACCAAATTTCCTGTCCAACTATGAGCGATTTCATGTGCTACAACTCTGACCTGGGAGCGATCTCCGCACTGAAAGTCATTTGTTATGGGATTATTCACTTACTAAGCATCGAGTTTGAAGCTTGAAGAGCCAGCATATCTAAACTCGAAAAAGTGTACCAGTAACGTGGGCGTGATAAACGTCAGACATGGATTCTCCATTCCACCAAAGGGGAACGTAGGGAGGTAACACAACGAGATCATACCTGTAATCATGCAATACAATTTTATTCCTTTACATTCTCACACAAATTCAACTTCTTGAAGCAGATTGAGTCCGTAAGCTGTGCCGCGTGCAGTTGCGTCGCGGCGCTTGAACTCAGGTTGACACCAGCACGGTTCAGGCCATTCGATAATTGCCTCAGGCCTGGGAGCACAATAAGCGGCAATTTTGTCACGTTATGCGATTCTGGACTTTATACCGCGACGCGACCGCGCGCTTGCGTTTGGCATGGTCACGGAGTGGAGTCGAACACAAAGTATAGCAACATTTTGAAAAGCGCCTACCTTCCCCACCGATAAGGACCTGCTATTTTTTCCGCAGTTTGCAAAATCTTCTCCGTTGCTTCGAACTCCCATCTTGCCGCATCAACGACAGCGATGTTCCCAACCAACTCTTACATCTGGAAATTGAAATGAATCTATGATAAGTAGCTAGCCCCTAATTTGTTTCTTCCGTGAGCAAGTCATACCAAAAAATATCCACGATAATGTACGAAGAGGGTAAGTCACCTAGTTGTAGAGACAAAAGGACCACCTAGAAGATGCAACGTTTTGTTTTTCTTGTGTTTAACTCCAAAAAGTAGTTGGCCTCAAAAACCCCCCATGCTCCGGCAATCTAGCATGGCCTTCCCCACGACGCTATTGGCGCGCTATCGGCGCGGTACGCCCCCTCTCGCTGCCTGACCTCTAGCTGTTGTTTAACGCGAGATCGTTAGCGTTGAAGTGGGCAGCACTGATGTGAGTCGTGTCGATGCGGAAACCAACGGGCAAGAAAGGGATCCCTTCTTGGGTTTTAGGTCGTTTTTCTTACTATAGTACTTTCTTCTTTCGTGCATCACATACCATCTCTAACTTAATTTCGGTGGGCTGCCTTTTCATCTTGAACTTTTTGAGTAATTGTATATCCCAAGAAGCGCGCCTGTGGCGACCAAAGGCAAGAAGCCACGGTAAAATCGATCGGTGAAAGCGGTTGTGAAGCGTCCGGAAAATAGACCTCACCGCAGCCGCACGCAGACTAGCTTGCCTAACCCCGATTTTATTGTTCAGGACTCTGTGGGGCGTACGAATCAAAACTCTTGCGTACCTCTTGTGTAGCGTTTTTGAACGTACCGTGGGCTGATCTCTCTTCGTTCAATATGTCCAACGACGATCGCTAACAAGTAAGACGGAATGGCGACAGGTTGTTCAAACGTGTAAGTAGTGGTGTCTCCTGTCTTCTTCTTTCCTTTACAAATAGCACTCATCAAACATACTAAATCACCGGGTACAGCCACCTAAAATAGCGCAATGAGCAGAAATCCCTCTATATTTTGAGCGAAAAAGAATCAATTAGGTCACAAAAGCAATCATTAAGCTGGCACATCCTATGTCGTCTATATAGCGCACTTGAACTCCTTCAAGAGCCTGCAGGTTCACCTCGGTCGCAACCGTGCAAACCACTTACCACGGAAGGCATACAACTTTCTATGGAACTTCGAATAAGCTTCAAATTTTGATTACAAATATGGAAACTAGAAACTGCAAAATGAACCTCCAAGGAAGTTGTGAGCAGACAAAGTTGGCTGGAGATGAAACGTTCCATATGACCGTGCTGCTCTCGAACGGGAAGAGAACACAGGATCTACAGGCTGGAGAGCGAGAGCACTACCACTACTCCACGGCGACTCTGAAAGCCCGGAGGCTAGCACGGTTCATATGTAATGCTTTACTTCCAGCCAACTTTGACTGCTCACAACTTCCTTGGCAGGTTCATTTTGCAGTTTTAGTTTCCATATTTGTAATCAGCGTTTGAAGCTCTATCGATATATCTGGGTCTTAACTCAGGTCTTAACCCAAAGTTCCATGGGAAGTTGAATGCCTTTCTTGGTAGGTGTCGAGGTGCGACCGGTTGCGTCCCATTCTTGTTTCAAAAGCGGCGAGACAGTGATTCCTATAAAACAAGACTCTACCTCTGCACGATATGATGATTTTACGGATGGTGTATCCATACATGGCATGATTGAACGAGCATGAATAGCCTGACATTGCGAGAACAAGTACGATGCCTGAAATTCGAGAATGACGTATGGTAGATACGATTCTTTTACAGGAGCATCACGCCTTCCAATTTAGTTAGTTCTAGAATCATTCCTATTTGCTCATGGGAAGCTTGTGCTCGAGCCGAACCTGACCTTTTTCTACGTAGCATAAAATTAAGTCTAACTACAAACTTTGACAATCAGAGCACTTCGCTCAACCAAACTTCCTCCTTCATTAATTGGAATACCTCATTACTTCCCTTTGTCGAATTCCAACATCACTGTGTGGAAAAGGACATGATAACAAATTTAATATAGCACCATTGAGTCCAATTATAACACAAATTAAGGTGACAACAATCTTCTCTCTACCTACTGTTATTGTTCAACAAGAACATAAACAATAGTTGAATTAATGCTTAAAACAACACGTTAGATCTTAATGAGCTTCGGACAAGCACCATACTAAAAAACGTTTGAGATTATGATTCCATCGATTCACTACCGTTCTTGTCACTAGTGGATGTATGACTGTTTTAAGTTTTCAGCACATGCCCATGCTAACAAAAACCCCGGAAGGTGCAAACGACCTACAGCCATGGTGAGCTGCGGCTTGCGTCAAATTGTGAGAAAGTAACACTTGGTTAAGAACCAGTAGTACCTTCTTATCAGCGGTTAGTTCTTTATCCATGAACTGAAGAGCCGCAGCTTCTTGAGCTGTCGAGTAAGTTATGGCAAGTTTTCTAAATGCAACTATATTATATTAGGAATTTGTTCAAACCAATCATGTGAACAACAACTTTAGATTTGAAGTCTTACACTTCTTGGTCCTTCTTTATAGGCGATTTGATAACTATTTTATCTCCAATGGGTGTACCTGGTTCAACGGTGAATACGAGATCTTGTCCATTCAAATTCACACTAGAGATCGCTAGTTTATCTCCATCAAGTACCTGTAGAGATTAAAGAAAATTCTAAAAAAGCGCAACACATATGGGTTAGATCGCGTTCATGGTAGTTTACTTTTTGAAAGGGTTAGAGAGAAAATCCCAAAACAGAGTCGTAAAATCATGCGAAATCTGTCTCGTTCATGTTTTTGCGAATTTTCCAACTCTCACTTACGCGAAGTAACGATGCGCCTGGTCTGCTATCTTGGGCAGCGTTCATAGTTCGCAATCGCACATGTCGCCAGGATATCAGGCGAGTATTGGAAAAAGTTATACGCGTCGAATAGACAAGTGCGTGGGCAGGCTATTAGGCGAGTAGGCGATTTAGGCGATCTTCAGTGGGCGAAGTAAACGAACCGATACGTATGCAGTCTTACTCGCCTAGACGCCTACGCGCATAATACGATAATTGTCATGACCTAGTAGCTTGATTGCCTAATAGGCTAGTCGCATGTGCTATCGCGAACCCCTGAACATGCCTGCGCACCCGTGCAAACGTTATGCTCTGCTTGCCATTTTGCCCGCCATTCCCACACCACATACATCATCTTGGCAAAGTTTTTGAAATTAAATAACTTCGTAGAACCGACACTTACAATTTATCTACATCTTTTAGTGCTTTCAGTGTCATTTCGATACAGCCATAGATGTTCTTTTGAAGAAAACACACAGTCCATTCGAGAAAGTAGTGAGTAACCGTGATCTCATCATAATTCGACGATGTTGTTGGATCCCGGTACATCTGTGACAAGTGGAAGACAAGAAATTTGAACACTCGAAGGCTCTCCAAACTGGATGGCTTACAAATTAGAGATACTCGTAGTTCATGGAACAACCGACATTCATAAAATGAAAACCGTACCGAGCATCGGATACTTTCTGATAAACTTTATCACAGGTATTTCATCACAACATGAAAAATCCGGATGCAGGTCACTTTCGTGCACAGGTACAATTTCATAATACTGAGCAATCTTTTCTAGAAAGACTTTTTGAGCACGAACTGGTTCACCAATGTCTCGCTTTTCATAAACACATAGGATTTCTTCCGCATTGAAGGACTTGATAGTGTTTATAAGATGAATTGACACTCTCTAAGTAATAGATACAATCGACTAAGACCAAAACGTCTACATCTGGAACACGACCAGGAAACGCCCAATCCAACGGCTCGATCGAAACTGATCCACGGCAAACCGACTTATTGGCTTCGTAGTTCGTTTTCAATAGTGGCACACGCGATGGCAAATCGGTAACTATGACGTCGGCTCCAATTGCAGCCAAATAGGCACACTATGCCTGTGCCGCATCCTAATTCAAGTAACCTGAACGTTCAATCTAAAACAGATACAGAAAACCAGCATAAACTGAATTCTCTACTCAGATAGGAAAGACGCTGACATAGTGCATGACCAAAAAAATATAAGTACATGAAGACAAAGCCGTAGGCTCAACATTGTGCAGCTATGCAACCCCACACAGGGGCTCCTGTAGATCATCACAGTCCAAATCTGCTGTAACTTGGAGGGCAAGGATGGTGTAGTGGCAAGTATGTCGCTTCCACGCAACGGTCACTGGTAATCAAATCTCAAGCGTGCGCCGCTCGGCAACCGAAATTCGCATCCTCCCAATCGCTCAATTGGACCGACTGTCTAATAGCATATAAACACTGAGCCCACTCCAAACGTGTTTGATAGGCCCAAGTCCCTTCGAAGCTGCTGCATTTTGAGTTAGAAAAGAATGCGCACTGGCAACATCCCAAAAGAGAATTAGGCAACGCCCAAGTCTTAACCTCTACCTTTTATCCAATTGTCAAGAAACCGCCGGACCCCTCTCTACAAGCTTGGTTTCCTTCCTCGACTTATCTCCTCCTCCCACTGTTTCTCACCGCTTCCACTGCCGGGCACCCTTTGACAGTGTACTGAAGTAGGATGTCTATGATAGCCGTTGGCAATTATCACAATCTCGTTGCAATTATCGCCTCAAACTCCGATATCGAAAACAAATCTTAAGCAGTGCCACTCCCTCCTCAATGACACTACCCGAATCGTCCTTCCAAGCCCCCGCTTCTGTAGACGGTTGGTCCGGACGGACAAAATGACGTGCATACAGACAAACCAACACACCAAAGCTCTGGTCTATACAGGGGGCTAAAAAAGGAGTCACTTTGCCCATCGGCGTATACCATCAAAGTTTTATGCAGGATGCCACTGTTATTGAAGTTTATAATGTCGAAATAATTCCTTAGAGTCTCCCTCATAAATTAAGCAATTATGGCCCACCTTCGCTGCCTTCACCGTCTCCAGAATATGACGTCATCTGTCATCACCGTCGAGCTCAAGGAGGCCTACCATAATCGCTCCATTCTGAAGCTGCTACATAATTTCTTCAATCGGATAACTGGTGAATGACTTCTTAGAGACACTAGCTCTGACTATGCAAAATGGCTTTTGACCAGCGTTTCAGAGACGTCGTAATCATCTATGGTTTCTCGACGACCCCGTTGAGCTCGTACCGCGAACCATGTTTCCGTGTGGGAAAATCTTCTGATGTCGTTGGTGTAGAAAGCCCTATGTAATTTTTTTGATAGAATAGAATGTGCTCTTCAATAACGCAATTAGCTCATTAAGTTCATTGGTGGTTAAACCTGCTTCGGGAGACGGCGAAGCGCAAACGAAGAATCGTTTTCAAACCATCTCTTGTCTCAAAAAATGTCAACGAATGCAATGCAATTTTAACAAAAAAGCAAACGACATAAGATTAAATACTACCTTTTTGTCTCGATACTTCTTCGAATTTTTAATAAAATAATGAGCAGCAACTAGAGCACTATCCCATACGACACCACCTACGTCAGTATTTGCCTCCTAAAAATTGTCCAAATTACAAGAGATTAAAAGATTATGAGACCGTTTTTATGCACCTGAAAAATCTTTAGGGTCCTACCGTGATCTACGTCGATCGACCTAATGAATGTTTTCTCGTCGTGTTCCATCATATGACCATTTCATTCGTCTAGAAATACCAAAATAGAGATATGAAAGGGACAAAAAATATAAAAATCTGGCTCTGTATCAACTTTAGAAGTTGAACAGCGCAGTGTCCACATCGTGATGGATAGAAAATGCACCAGTACATGAGAATGCGGCTGTATCTGGTCCCGTGATCACGTTTGTGTGATTTGCACGAGTTCTTCTAAAAATGTCAACTGATTCTCATTCAGTTCACTTTCTAGCAGAAAAATCACGTTTGTTTTCATTAATATTTATTAGGGTACATCATATGCACATAATTACTATTTTCTACAACATATAACTAATTTACCTTCTGTAAGGAGAACTGAAAATGTAGAACTAGACATAGTAAGATGGAGAATAAGCCAAATATTTGTCTTGTCGATTCATAAAGTAACATATGAACTGTGAAAGAATACAACGCGACAATCACAACTAGTGATAGCACTTCTTTTCCTTTTGCTGTGCGAAGGGGGCAGTCAAAGATTTCAGGTCCGCGAAAACTCCCTTATATCGTATCTGTCAGCGATGAACAAATGAATTTTTGTTCAGACATATCGTAATAACCAACGTACGACTACTCTTTCCGTTTTTTTTCAGAGATTCTGGAATCTTCTGATTGTTTCCCCTATATGAACGAAAGGAAAAGAAGTTTTCATCTAACTCATGAATCGATGCAGCGAGTGTCATGAGAAGGACATGGACAAGGTGTTAAAGTTGTGAGTCCATTCCGAGAATCGGAACCGTTGCGAGAGATAAATAAGAAAGGTAGCCAGCTAAACTTAGGTTCGCATCATAGCGGTAAACTCTGAAGCAGTACGATAAACCAATTAAACGAAGACTTAAAAGCCTCGAAGAATACACGTACATCAAAATAGAAACATTAAATAATGTAAAATGAACCATTTTTACAGAATGACAAAACATAAAGAGGAAAGGCACCAATCTCACTGTTTCATCTTCTTTTTTCTTGCTTCTTTACACTGTTCGCAGTACCATTTTCCTGAAAATTGCATTTGAGAAACAGGATAATATTGAAAATGATGGGTCTCTACTAATAAAGGAAGCATTAGGTGCAACAGCTCGTGTTCCCTGAAGTAATTACAATTTTCGCAAGAAGGAAGCTCTAGGGGTACGAAATAGTTCTCAGATCTCAGAGCTCCCCACTCCTGCAAAAACTGCGATTACTGTTAGTGGCAAGAGTTATTACACCGAATACTCCTCCCTTCTTTGTTGGCGTAGATCCAAAAACAATTTTCCCACGTATAGATCTAAAATGATTTTCAACTCACCAACAGGAGATGAGGTCAAACCAACACATTGGAAATGGAACCACTCATTTTTACAATCCGGACCATCACAAGCGACCATTTGACCGAACGACACCTTCAAGTATAAGATATTAAAACTGGTAGTAAAGTAACACAGAAAAAGTGAACTTTTACAGTACAACAAAGGGCGCATTTGAGAAAGGTAATCTGGAGTACATGCCTGATGACAGATGCAGTATGTAGGTTCATTTGGATCCACTGGCATATCAACTGAAGTCAAAGGTGCCTGCTTGAAATGGTCAACGAATGGCGCTGAAACTGGGTAAAAGTACAAAAAATAGTAATAGTGGATTAATCAGGTTCAATAAAAATAGACTAGTAACGATTGATTCGATTGGTGAAGTACAGAAGCTTCCTCTTCTACGTAAGAATCTCATTCATGTGGCTGCGTCATTCCATTTCTGTGGCTTTGATCTCTTAAAACTCACCGTTCTCTGAAGTCTTTGCATCCATCGGTTTCTTCCTTTTATCTACTCTTATAGTTGTCATGTTAGATCTTTTCTTCTGAGAATCTGTAGAATTTGAAGGTCCTGAAGCAGAAAATAATGATGAATAAACCACAGTCGGAAACAAAAGTTGGAATTTTGCAGGTTTCCAGTGCTCTGTGTAAACAGCTTCGAATTCCTGATAATTCATAAGACTGGCCACTACTTCACGGACTGTACAAATTCAAAAACACTTCAAAAAAGAATCTGCACAAGATGAGGATAATGTTTGTACCTGGATTTACTCCGTGCTCGGCTTTGTATTTTCTGCGCTGTACTTCATGAAAATCTGTGATTTGTTGGTCCATCTCTTTGATATGTGTATCAACAGTGTCGTACATCTTTTGGGCAAGCTTCACTTTTCTCTCGCTCAGCTTGTCCACTTCTTTGTACATGGCCTGAACAGGGCATATGACATCACATGTAGCTATTACATGTGAGGTTATTTCCAGAATAAAGCAACCACTAAAGACTGTACCTGTGTTTCCTTGTAGTATTTCATTCGCTGTTCCTTCGTAAACTTCTTCAAATTCTTTACTTGAGCAACAACGCGAAGTTCTATCTCACGTACTAACTTTTCAACCTACAAGTAAAAAATTGGGCTGAAAGGATTGAGAAGAAAGTGTATGGTATCACCTTTTCATCCAATTCGCGCATTTCTTCTGCGCTCTTGCATATAAATGGTGGCAAATCATCCAGTTTTTCCATATATTTCACCAGTTGTTCAGTCATAATGTCATTACAATGTCACGGATTGAACTAAATGTCAGATAAATAATGTAATCATCACTGATTGTCTCACATTTTCTTCGTAACAAGACTTATTAGGGCATAGGTGAGCAATACAGCTTAGCATATGAATTTATCTACCTGATCAATTGGTGCAACAACCACAAATGACCAGTTTCTCTGATGATCTTGTGAGAAATGATACTCTGCTATATTGAGAAGTCAGTGAACCATATCAATATTATCACGCACAGTTACTAATAAAACACCGCTCGGTTCACAACAACTCGAGAAACACCTGCACAAAAAAGTGTAGGACGCCACCAGTCTTATTTTCATTTGAAACATTGGGTTTGATCAGCCCTGCTCCTAACATACGACAGAAATAATTAAAATACTATCGCGAAGCTGGAAGACGTGATAAACTGATTGTAAATGCTGCGCCGTACAGACCCAACAACACCAATGTCGTCTAGCTCTGCTATGTCAAAAAAAGGATAGATGATATGGAAGCTTTTGCACAACACTCCATTTCTTTAACCTTATGTTGTTGTTGACTTTGAAATACGGCGTTGTGGCGCTAATGTCAACCGGCTTTCGATTACTCACCCTATTCAACTGCAATGTGGCGTCAGAAGAAAGGGTCGTCGTGCAATGCTTTAACGTAACAATCAATCCTACGGACCAAACGAGTTACAAACATTCGGCCGTGTAGCGTTTCTTCATGCTGGTTCAGCACAAATTTTGAAAGGACACTACAGCCAGGTCTATTCCAGTTAGGAGAGCATCATGATGCAGTTTTTCTACGTTAACTTCGGGCCAGGGAGAGGGCGGGGTGAAAGGCGTTACTTGACATGCGTGATAAGATGGAATATTCGAGTTTACGCTAGTTCGCCGAGAAACTACATCATGATGCCCCCTCCCCTAACTGGAATAGACCCCTAATGCCTATGCGCTCCTCAGATATGATGTTGTAAATTGTCTTCTTACTTACACCGCCACGAGTTATCCCCTATCAAAAGACTTGCACATTTGGTTTTATCCTTTGATCTTTTTGACGTTGAGACCTCTGATAGTTTTCATGTTGTTTGAAATCCTCTTCTCAGGTGTTGTATGCTCAGTAAGGAATGGCTCCGAGCTGCGCGTAAAAGTTCAAAATTTACTTCATGGCTGGAATAGGGATCTTCGAAGTTTCAGATTAACGCGATTCTTTACGTTTTACTCTTGCATGTTTACACAGTGCATTCTATTGGTTCTTGAGCCGTAAAGTAAACAATGATGATTCAAGACCTACTGGCGTCGTCAAATCATCTCACTGAGTTAAATTTTCAGCTTTAATCTGGTTTCAAACTGACGCATGACTGGCTGCCGCAATAACTGACATTCTTTTGGATCTCATCAGTAGGGGGAGGGGGAAGAGCATGTGGTGCGACAGTTAAAGCAATCCAGTTTTTGCGAGGGAAGGAAGCTCGAGGGTGACTGCTAAAGCGGAACTGAACTGGTTCACGCCGGAGTTTTCTTACATCTGCGAAAATCCGAATTTCTGTAGGTGGCAGCAAATGTCGCATCACATGCTCCATGAGGGCGCTTTCATCGGTCCGATCGTAACGATCGCATAACATTAGATACGTATCGATCGTTCGACACGTCCGACGATCGATATGCATCTAATGCTATTCTAATGTCATTACGAGCAGGGACCGACTGCGAAAGCGCACTTATTGGACGAGACTCATTCTTTTTCTTGGACGAGGTCTTCTTGGCGTTTTCACGCTATTTGCCTTCCAATCAACCGTTTTTCGAGTTTATCGCCGCGATATGCGAAGATTTCGTGGGATTTGATTACCTTTCTTTTTTCGATTTCTTTGTAAATACCAGCTTCATAACTTCCCGAACTCATTCGTTGGCGATTCTCCCAAAAGCGCTATTTTCTTGTGAATACAGCGACAGCTCCCAGTATTTTTTGCAGCGTTTGTTTCTTTTTCGTGCGATTGGATCCATACGTGACCTGGCCTTGACCCCGGCAATAGAGATGGTCAGCTATCTCGAGGTTTGAGGTTGGCCGACACGTGACGGCTGACATTAAGCGAACACGTCAGAACATGTCACTGAACATGTGACTTCGTTCCAAAAATTCATTTTTTGTCATGTCGGTGTTGCTTTAAAACGTGGGTCAATTCTAAAGCGTGAGTTCTTTCTAAGCCGCTGTCTTGTTCACTAGTTAGCAGAATCGGGCTATCCGAAAGTTTTGATGGGTACTGACTGGCTCTTTATTTCTTTTAGATCTGGTTTATAGCTCGCGAATGATGTGATTCGAAAAAAAGTGAAAGGATGAAACGTTGAAAGCAAAGGAGAAATATTGGTGTGGAAAAACAGCGATTTTGAGAACGACCAGGTTGACCGTACTAAGCGTGCATCGTCTGCTTACTTCGCCCTAGGGTAAGATCACACTTTCCAGTCCGAGTATGGGGTATCGATCGTGCGATCGCGCAATCGATATGTATCTAATCCACACTTGAACGCAAAATATGCCCGACGCTTGAGCGGAGTTGAATCAATCGATGTTTCAATTTTTCGATTTTGCAGTCCACCGATTTATAAGTTCCCGAGGGTCTATTCCAGTTAGGAGGGCATCATGAT